TGTCTGAAGATGTCTCCGTGATCATGTGGCCGACATTAATAAATGCCAAAGGCGCACGGAACACTGTTACCTTCCCACCAAAGGTGGTTCTTATTTTTCTACTTGCATTTTTTACATGCTTTCAAATTGCTAGGTTGGCAGAAGCTGGGACAAGTAATGAACTTATGTGGCGCTAGGAATTTGAACCGCCAACCTTTCTGATCGACAAGCTCAGGTCTTAGCCACTGAGCTACCATGTCCCACTGTTTTAATCAATAGATTTAAAAATCTTTCAGTAAATCTCATTTGGATGATTGGATTCTATCAACAGAATGAAACAATTTATTAATAAAGACTCTTTTAAGCATATTGTTATTTCACCAACAAGAGACTTATTAATATTGTTAAACAAAATGTGTCCCCCCCAACACTGGGCTTCTTGGATACATACATTTTATAACCATTGTGAGATATACTGTGCGTGATAATCTGTGCAAATAGTTATGGCAATTATGTTATGACACCAGCAAATTCTTCCTGTGAAAGGAACCAAAAAAAATGAGAAGATGAGGTCCTGGTATTTCTATTTAAGACTGCTTGACTCATCGGGTGTGCATGAATTGTATCTGATTGGTTTCAGAGATAGGTAGTCCCTGAAACGGATAATTTCACCTCTTACCCAGACCTGAAGCAAGTGAATTACTAAGAAGCATGCGTAATTAGGCCATCTGTAGACAAGTTCAGGAGACAGAGATTACCCATGCTTTGCCAGCTTCCAGATCATTACTAAAAGTCAGAGATGTCATCAGAATGAACAATTTGCTTCTTTCTCTAAGTAATGAGAAACTGATAGGTGATGTAAAAAATTATGTGGCAAACCAGTTGAAGCAGGTAAGAAATATTTCCCTGTGTTTTGAATTAGGAGTGGGTGAAACCATTAGCACGTTCTACCAGTCCTAGTTTAATGAAAAGGTCTTGGAGGAAACTTCTACTATTCTCAATTTAATGTTCTTTAAAAGTTTAGGGATCTTTATCTCCCTTTTTTAATTTTTGACTTATCTCAAGACAATTTGAAATGATTATGGATATTTTACAGTGATGTGATAAACAGTGTGGTATGTTATTTCATAAATCATACAAATTTCTATTAGTGATTATGTTTCTGAAAGTTGCTAAAAATTGGAATTTTTAAAGACAACTTATGGTAATTGAGATGGCACCTATGAATGATTGATGGCTTTATTATTATTGATTTTATTTATTTATTATTTATTCCTGAACACCATCACTCTGCTAAACAAATAATTCCATCAAAACTGTCGAACTATTTACTAAGTCTGTGTTACTATTACTATTAATCTTCTCATTGTTCCTATCACCCATCTTCTTCCATTTTTGACTGTATGACTAACTTTGTTGCTTGTATCCTTACGATTTATACTGATTGTTTCCTAGTATGATTTGATTGTTATTTGTACCCCATGACTCTCATTAAATGGTTGTACCTTATGATTCGTGACGAACGTATCTTTTCTTTTTTGTAAACTGAGAGCATATGCACCAAATACAAATTCCTTATGTCTCCAATCACACTTGGCCAATAAAGAATTCTATTTTATTATTTCTATTCTATTCTATTCTATTCTATTCTATTCTATGCTATGCTATGCTATGCTATTCTACATTTAGCATGGATATTTTATTGTATTGCTGTTGATTCAAAATGCTTCAATGTAGTAGATACAAACTGAATGAGTGAGTAAAATATATAAAGAGGGTAAACAAAGGATACATTCTAATTAAAATAGTCAGTTGGAAGGAACAAATTCCAGCTAATGCAATAGTTCATTGTTCTATTTTACATTTATATTCTTCCTTTGATATTTTGCCAAATGTCTCCAAATAGATAAAACTTTCCAGATCTTATTCATCGACTTGGCAATACTTGCTCTCTCTCTACTCAGCTCCATAATTAAACATTAATTAATTTTCAGCAATTAGTACGCCAATATATAAGTTCCCCACTGTTCTTTCGCTGTGATACCGTGGAGGGGTGAAACTGATGCGTTGTTTTTTTCTGCCCAGTTATATAGGAAAGGTTATAAATTAAGATTCTTAGCAAGGTTGGAGTTTCCTCTCCTTCTGTGGTCCCATGGGAAAATCCCTTGTCTGTAACATTAGAACTGGAACACTTGCAGAGTTTGATTATAATACAGTGATGGTGAACCTTTTCAGCACTGAGTGGCCAAACCAGAATGTGAGTGCATGTGCATGCATCTGTGTGGGTGCACATCCCAGAGCACCGGAAACCCAAAGACCAGCTGGCCGCTGCACATGTGTGCGCTGGCCAGCTGGTCTTTGGGTTTCAGGCATGCACATGCACACTGGCTAGCTGGTCTCCATACATGTTGGAGCACTGTTACCAGCGCATGTCTGTTTTTTGGCCATTTCCAGGCCATTTTCCAGCACTCTGGTGCCCACAAAGATGCACAACAGAAACCAGAAGAGCAGCTGGCAATGGCACACATGTCCACAGAGAGGGATCTTCATGCCACCTCTGGCACACGTACCATAGGTTGACCATCATGGCTATAATAGATCCAGACCATTATATATATTAAGAGTTTGGGGCTGGGTGGAGACTGAAGGGCATCCCCTTCTATGCCCATCAGGTCTGGTCAACTCAGAGATTTTATATGTTATAATATCTTTTGACTATCTCTGGATTTCCATGAATCATTGAAAGAATGGTCTGAGCTTCTGCATAGCCAACCTCATATTTCATTAGAATTTTTAATACCCCCCAATCCTTGAGTCACCTGAATGCATCTCTGAAATCAATCGCATAAAACAGAGAATTCTTCTAGAAATGCCCCACTAAATATGCTATATTTAAATGAGGATTTGCCTTAACTTCATTATAAAAGTACTTTTTTCCAATTATACCTTGGTTTTACACCATTCTTTGAAACCTGTTTTGACGTTTCCTCCTTTTTTTTTTTGTTCTAACTGAGCATGTTAAAAGCACCAAACTCTGTGTTTCTGTCATCCATGCCATAATGGAATTTACTTTGGTGCACCATACAATTTAAAAATAAAAGAAATATGTGCTAGACTTCTTTTGTATCCTTAGCCGCTGATCTATAAATAAGTAGACAGTTTTCAAAACATCTGGAAAGTTGTGTGTTTTCTTTCCCCTTTTCATGTTGTTGCTGAAAATAGCTGAATGTTTTGCATTAGCAGTATCAGTTATAAGTGGGCTAGCAAAATGAATCATTCCTAGACGTAGTTATTTGTCATCCTGTTGCAGAGTGTACTGTATGTGATGTGACATATAACCCAAGAAAGCTGTAAAAACATGACTACATTCTAAACTGCCACATTTAAGAAATAGAGAGCAGAAAGAAAATAGGTGGTGTAATAAGTTTTACTGTTCTTCAGGTTGTGGGACTAAGGTTGTTCTTTTAATCTCTCTTCCTCTCAGGTTTGTATCATTTCTCAGTCTTGGAAGACATTGCTGTTGGCGAAGCGATAGGAAGGATTAAAGCGAATGACCTGGACATCGGTGAGAATGCGAAGTCATCCTATGACATCATAGAAGGAGATGGAATGGATATCTTTGAGATCACCCCTGACTCTCAAAATCAAGAAGGCATTATTAGATTAAGAAAGGTAAATGGCATGAGAACTGGAAGAAATGTGGGTTTGTGGATTCTGGCAATATCCAAAGCAGTTGTTAAAGCAGAGGTGCCCAATTTTGGGTAGGGACCAGAGAAGATATGGACCAGCTCAAGAAAGATATTTGATTTCATAGCTACCACTGTTGATATCAAAAAAGACTAAGCAGCAGGATATGACCTGTTTAATAGCTTCTTGGAAGATCACCAAGAAATCCAAGAACTGTAAATTGAGTTGAGAAGTCAAAAATACATCCCAGAAGAGAATAATGAAAAACCATTTTCATAGTGTTGCCAATAGAACTACATTAATGTGTCACGTGTCATCCCAAGGAGCTGTGTTTCACTTATGGAAGGTCTACCCTTTTTGTTGTTCCATAAGTTGTTACTTGTTTCTAATTATCTTGCAGGTGCACAGGGAGGCAATAATCACAAGTATCCCATATCCCAAATACATAGATTTTAGTAATTTTCTTGAAGCCATCACCAAATCCAGTGGTTGTAAATTCCAGCATGTTGTATCCTATGTCCTTCTCTTGTTCTCAATGTCCATCCAACTAGTTTCACTGCAGGGCCCTAATCCTGATCTCACACAAAGTAAGGGAGTGCAATTTTACAATAATCAACAGATTTCCCTTTTTTAAAAAAACCCTCAGAACAACAATTTACTCTTTCCTAGTACAGAAAGAAGGGATGTGATGGCCCAGTGGCTAAGATGCTGAGCTTGTCAACCAGAAAGGTCAGCCATTCTAATCCCTAGCGCCATGTAATGGAATGAGCTCCCATTACTTGTCCCAGCTTTTGCCAATCTAGCAGTTCGAAAGCACGTAAAAAATGCAAGTAGAAAAATAGGAACCACCTTTGGTGGGAAGGTAACAGCGTTCTGTGTGCCTTCGGCATTTAGTCATGCCGGCCACATGACCACGGAGACATCTGCGGACAGCGCTGGCTCTTCGGCTTCGAAACGGAGATGAGCACTGCCCCTTAGAGTCAGAAACGACTACCACATATGTGCAAGGGGAACCTTNATATAGATATATAGATATATAGATATATAGATATATAGATATATAGATATATAGATATATAGATATATAGATATATAGATACACACACACACACAAACACACACACGTTTGACTAAATCTAAATAAGCCAGTGGCTACATCCAGATGGGTTCTTGTTGTGTTACTGCATTTTAAATATTACCTTTGTATGAAGAGGGTTTCGAGAGAATGAGCCCCAATATTAAATCCAGCTTTGGTCAGACGGCATGACGTTCACACTTTCCTTTTTTCCCCCCCGTGACAATATTTTCTTTATTCTTTCTTTTTCTTTCCCCAGCCATCATCAAAACTGCTCTTTCAAACATGGACCGGGAAGCCAAAGAGGAATATACCGTGGTCATCCAAGCAAAGGATATGGGTGGACACATGGGTGGACTCTCCGGAACCACCACAGTGACCATTACCCTGACTGATGTCAATGACAATGCTCCAAAGTTTGCACAAAGTAAGTGACATTTCTGATGCACCCACTTCATAATAATCAGACACCAGGCCAAGAAAGACAATGATTGGATACCCATCTCATTGGAAGGAACTAAGACTTTGTCTGGTTTTATCTTGACACATTGTGTGGATCTAATCACTGTGATATGCAATGGAGGGGCATGTTCTTTAAGGTGTAGCTGTCAGAGTTTATTGCAAAAATCAGATCCAGAAAGCACACACTGATAATTGATTCAGCAGGATTCATTAACTTCTTTACATACATAGTAACACATGAATACCAATAGCAGATTCTTCCAACCTGGTAGAGAGATTGGTTTTCAGTTTGCGGCCTCCCAGCTGATCTTCTTTTGTAGCTCTGAACAGGAGAACGGAACTGGAAAGCAGGTTAGTCGGGTTCAGAGGGAATTGGGATTTTGCAGTAACCTTCCCTTGCCACGCCCACAAAGCCACGCCCACAGAACCGGTAGTAAAAATTTTCGAATCCCACCAACTAACAGAGCTAACAGAGACCCACACACCCTTTGAGCATGGAGGCTAGTTGTGTAACCCCAGTCTCCCTCTCAGCCCAAATAAATGTCAGGTTACTGAACACACAAGCTGCAGAACAAAAACAAGCCAACTCACTAATCACATCATGGTTTTTACTACCAGTTCTATCATGGTTTGATAGCCTTTTATTGTGAGACTTTTAGGCATGTTCAAGGCAAAGCAATTAGAGCTCACAACCAAACAGGTTGGTACGGCTATTTGAAATATGACTATTTGGAGGGACAGAAAAGAGGCTGGAAATGGTTGCATAATTCAGTATAACAGCAACCCAGGCATGTTGATCTCTTTTGTCTTCTCATTGCCTTTCTTTCTTTCCTCCCAGTCTAAGAGCAAAGAAATTAGGTGAAAGATTTGTCTAGTTGATAAGCAGAAGAAAGTCACACCTGTAAAAGTCTAATAGAAACTTTTTCTTCCATGTAAGAAACTTTAAAACATGGTTGTTGTTTTTTCCTGCTGGGAGGAAGTAAGAATTCTCTGCCTGGCACGCATCACACATCCAATCTCATTGTTCTTCAAACAGTTTGTCTTTTGACCTTTTTGTACTTAGCCTCCCCTTAAAATGCTTATTATAAACACAGGGACTTGTTTTATATTGTGTTGGCAACAATCTCGGGATGACCATGGGTTTACTGATCCTGGCAGCTGCTTAAATTTAAATTTGACCTGTGTAAAGGAGAAGGGTGGATGAGTATTGATTTGAAGTCGGGTCACCCTATTCCAACAAGTCATCCTATTGAGATGCCTACTTCAAACAGGCACTTTCCGTGTCTGACATACAGAGAATAAATATTGATATGTCAGGTTCATATATAACAGCCTTGGGACTGAGTAATGTCACACAGCTTTTAGGGTCATGGTTCGAATTAATGAGAAGTTCAAAAATGTGAGCCCTACAAATCCATAAGGGAATATACTCACTCACACTCTCTCTCTCTCTCTCTCTCTCTCTCTCTCTCTCTCCCTCCCTCCCTCTCTCTCTCTCTCTCTCTCCATAAAATCTGTTTATAATATTGATATCCAGAGCCTCCTTTCCTCCCTTTCCTGCATTTCTCCTTTTCTTTGTCTATTTCTTAGCCTTGTGTTATCTCCAGTGCTTTCAAAGCCCTGTTAGATTAATGTTATGTTAAGAGTCAATGAGTGACATATCTAAAAAGATATGTAGTGTTGTTGTTAAAAGCAAGCAATCGACCAATGCATAATTGGAGATAAAAACTGGGAAAACAATCCTAGGTCTGGTTAATTGCTGATCTTAAATTCATAATCCATATTTGGTGCTATGCTTTGTTGATCTATCCTATGGTGCTTTCTGAGAGTTATAATAAGAGTTGGTTTTATTAGACATAGGTTTATTCTGCTAGATTTTAGCTGTTTTCTCATTTCATTTATTATAACCAATCTACGAAAGAGAAGCAGAACAATGGGGGGGGGGAGATTTTGTGTTTGCCCAACAAACTTAAACAGGTTAGTGAATACTGGAGCAGGTGCATTCACATGTGTTAAACTAGTTAGTGCTAATCTTAATTTTTATCCGTATCTTGATGACTTTATTTGGTTAGTTTATAATCAATGTATTTTGTGCAAGTAGAATAGTCACGTTCAGTCAGTTTGTGCGAACACCACCTAAATCTCAGTCATTCCCTCAGCATTTTTCCCCCTGTATAGTAGCTGCTGATTGTGTTACAATTTATACATCGGTTGCTGTATTTTATTTTATTTTATTTTATTACTTATTATTGCCTGGGTATTTATTTATATGGGGGGAATGTCCAGACCAAACATAATTTCTAATGTTGGATTTTCCCCCCTACCAGAGAGAGCCCCCTCATGAAGTGCCATGGCAACTCCACTGCATTGTACAGTAGAAACCATTTTAAAGCAGTACAGTAGAAGCCATTTTAAGGCACATAGGCTGTATCTTAACAGAACACACACCCTGAGGGGTGTTAGGGGTGTCTTACCCCCCACAGTATTTGTTTCCAGAGAGTAAGTCATCTGTGTACCAGATTTGGTTGAAATTGGTCGAGGCGTTCCAGAGTTATGCNTTAATTATTTATTTATTTAAAAGATTTGTATGTCTCCCCATCTAAAAGAACTCTTGTTTAAATTATAAGAACAATCAGTCACTGCTAAAATCAGAAAGTTGAGTGATGAATCGCTTATAATATTATTGCAATATCTCTCAGTTGTTGAATCATTTCTAGATGAGCAAGAAAAATAAATAAATCAACAATAGGAATTAGAGCCAATCTACAAACCTAGGAATCCACCTACTTGCACATGCAGTTAATATTCATTTCTGCCCTGAAAAAGGAAAAGAAGAAAGATTTCATTATAAACCGCTATCCATAAATGATGTGTTATCTGTTAGCTAAAGGTTGAGTAATTATAAAATGCTCCTCATTGCACAGTTACGCTGGGTAGGCCAGCCCTGTCCATAATACTGGTTGAGTAGTGACCATTGAATCTATCATATTATTTTGCCCCTCAAACCTTTTAAAACAAGACTGAGCCACATTAAAAGTCACACACAGATTGTGATAAATTACAATCTGTTTTCCCCAGGAAGTGTTTTTGTTGCCATCAGTTAACTGCTGTGGCTGTAATCCATTTGCTGCTCATTGTTTTAATCTAATTGGATATTTTATGGAATAAAAATTAACTCAGCACACATTGGCTTCAAATCTTTGGGCAGTCTGAAACAGCCCTAGTTTTGTGTTTTGATTTTACAGGAAATTGAATCTAGCTATATTAGCCATCAGGAGAGATTAATAGCAGCAGCAACTGAATATAGTTGCCAACAGAACTTTTATGCTTTTCATGAAAATAAGAGTAATATAGGAGTTATTATCTTGGTCTGGGGTGAGATTCAGGTTTGAATCCTCACTCAGTCATGGAATTTATTGAACACATTTGATTCAGAGATTGGCAGGTAGCCTAATTAGTACTTAGTGATATCTACTTATATTGCCTTGAAGTCCTGGAGGAAAAATATAATAGATATATAGGTACACAGACATTGTTACATGTATTTTTTTCTGGGAAAATAAAAATAAACAAGCATAAAAAACAGAACGTTTGTAGCAACAGTAGACCCGCACTGAACAAGAAGGTGATCAATATTCATAAGACGTAACACTTGGCATATTCACAATAAATTTTAATGAACTCAGACAGTATTGAGAGAGTTATGCGTCTTTATTGTTTTTGAGCAGAAAATACATGTGTATTTGTGGCTAGATTTCAGATAAATACAGCCCTCCTGAGCCTTGGAAATAAGAACAGTGAACTTTCACAACTACTGAGTTCTCTTGAAAATAATTTTAGGGGCATTTATAACAAATAATGTACAGTAAAACAAACCCCAATAGTTACAGAGAGCCCTTGTTTTCATAAGAATGGCAGATTTTGGGGCAAAACTTTCAGTGCACGAAAATAAATATATATAAATGTATGATACGTAAGTCATATTTCAGCTTTATGTTCTGTATTAAGCAATGTAAACAGCTACCTTTTTTCAAATTTTTTTTTTTCTTACAGGGGATTAATTCCCTTTCAGGAATTAATTAATGGATTAATCCCCTTTCAGAATCTGTATTATTTTTTCAAGATAGTACGCAATGAATGCTTCAGTGATTTTAAAAATTATATTATTTAAAACAGCAACTCAAAAGACTACCACCTCACCCAAAAGGCTAAATTATTACTATGGATGTATAAATGAACTAAAATCTGTTTTGAATTTGTGATCTGATTTAAAAAGTCAAGTCGATTCAGATTTTTCATTTGAATTGTCTAGTAGAATCTGTTTGATGTAGGAATTTGATTCAGTAATGATATATGCTCCCATTTAGAAAAAACCAGCATATTTTTGAACTATTTTGAAGGCACCTTAATTTAATTTGAAATGTTTTTTCTCAGTTTGCTTCAAACTCAATCTCAAATCAAAAGTTTTATATGTTCTTAATTTTCACAAGATTTTGCCACTATTTTTATTAATATTTCATTTAACGTTGAGCTGCCATGGATATAAATTGACTCCTACAGTAAGGAATTTAAAAGCCAATACAGCTAATCCTGGACTTATGATCACAACTGAGACCAAAATTTACATTGCTAAATGAGACATTTAATTTCTGATAATTATGTTAATTTTGCCCATTTTATGACTTTTTTGCCATAGTTCTTAAGTGAATCATGGCAGTTGTTAACTTACTAACATATAATTATTAAGTTAATCTAGCTTCCCCAGCAGAAGTTCACAAAAGGTGATCACCCGTAATGAACCAATTGCCAACCATTTTCATTTTGAGCACATGACTACGGTTATCTTATGAGTGTGAAAAAAGGGTCATAACTTTCATTGCCATTGTAATGCCTTCAAATGGTCATTAAATGAAATATTGTGTGTCGAAGACTACCTGTACATCATTTTGAAGCAAGTTGATGCAGAACTAGATGTCACTTTAGAATAGAATAGAATAGAATAGAATAGAATAGAGTAAGAATAGAATAGAATAGAATAGAATAACCTGTTTCCCCCAAAATAAGACCACCCTGAATGATAAGCCCAATTGGGCTTTTGAGCGCATGCACTAAAATAAGTCTTCCCTTGAAAATAAGCCCTCCCTGAAAATATTGCTACACAGCAGCAGCCATGAGGTGACCACACTCGCCAACTCCAGCACCTCAAAAATAATAAGATCTCCCTGAAACAAAGGTCAAGCGCTTATTCGGGGGGGGGGGGTCAAAAGAAAATAAGACCCTGTCTTATTTTCAGGGAAACGTGGTAGAATAGAATAGAATAGAATAGAATAGAATAGAATAGAATAGAATAACAGAGTTGGATAATAAAGTAGACTCTCAAGCTATAAACAACCATTTTGGGAATGCTAAAAAGCCCTAGGTGTGAATGAATGTATGCAAAACTCATATTTTTTACATTGGCTTCCAGCTCGGGCTGATCTGGTTATGAACTGGATCTGTGGATACAGTTTGCTGAAAGCAAATCTTCTTGAAGAGGTGTACCAGACATTCCATTCCTGATATAGTGAATTTTCTACATCCCTACTGAGAGGAAAAAATAGATATTCCATATATAAAAGTCTACTGATATATTTCCTGTGGCCTGTACATCAAATAAAGAGGAGCATTTCTCATATACCTGTCACTGCTGAAAACATGGTCAATACCATGTGCTAAATTATTTTTTGGGAAGTCTTGATCAGTAAATGTGGATGTTATTAGACTGGTTCTAAAGAGATTATTTAGTGTCTTACAGGATTTATCTGGCAGGTGGAATTCTAGCAGAATAAGAGAATTGAAAGGTACCTTGGAGGTCTTCTAGTCCAACCCTCTGCTCAAGCAGAAGACTCTAAAGCCGTGATAGCGAACATATGCCATGTGTGCCAGAGGTGGCACACAGAGCCCTCTCTGTGGACATGCACACCATTGCCAGCTGCTCTTCTGGTTTCCAGCGTGCATGTTAGTTGGTCTTTGTGGGTACAGAATGCCGGGAAATGGGCTGAAAAAACAGCCAATAACTAGTTTTTCAAACTGTTTTCCAGTCATTTTCTGGGCCATTTTTTGGCCTGCAAAATGGCCTGCAAATGGCCTGAAAACAGCCTGAAAACCACCCAAAAACCAATTGGCCGGCTCGCATGCCTGTTTTCAGGCCAAAAACGGTCTAAAAACAGACATGTGCACCAGCCAACTGGTCTTCGGGTTTCCAGCGCTCCAGCACAGGCACATGCACACACATGCACACATGTTCCAGTTCTGGCACTCAGTGCTGAAAAGGTTCCCCATCACTGCTCTACGCCATTCCAGAAAAGTGGCTGTCCACCTTTTCCTTAAAAGCCTCCAATGATGGAGCATCCACAACTTCTGAAGGCAAGTGGTTCCATTGGTAACTTGTTTTCACTGTCAGGAAAGTTCTCCTTAGTTCTAGGTTGCTTCTCTCCTTGATTAGTTTCTATCTATTGTTTCTTGTGTTGCTTTCCTGTGGTTTTGAAAATAGGTTGACCCCCCCCCTCTCTTATTTATGGCAGTCCCTCAAATATTGGGGCAATGCTATCGTGTCACCCCTAGTCCTTCTTTTCACTAGACTAGACAGATTCTGCAACCATTCTTCATATCTTTTAGCCTCCAGCCTTCTGTAAGATTGCTTCTTGAAATAACCTCAGGCAAGAATCCACTTTGGACTCATTTTCTATTCAGATTGTATCCACAATTATATCTCAGACCATGACACCATCTTGATTAAGAGTATAAAGTGTGTCCAGTACTGGCATCTTAAATGGAATCTCTGATCCAACTGATTATATCCTTAAACTATGGGGTTTTTTAAAAAGAAAAAAAAATAAGAAAAAAATGAGTATGAGTTGTGGCATGCATTTTTGAATATATTAAGGAAATGCCTGATTAAACAATAGAACCCATCTGAAAAATTCCCTTTTATTATAATTCCATTTCTTGCATATATGTTATGAATTATTTTAGTGGTTGCCAGTGAGATCCCTCTCTGTGTTTCAACCTTGGAAACATTGAGAAAGAATATAGTACATAATTAAGTGCTGTTCTGTTTTTGTAGCACATGATGCATTATTTTAGGCAATAAGCATAAGATATAATGGACACAGAATCTGAATGTAGGGAACAAAGAAATCAATTCTATCTTACGGCTACAAATGAATGTTTCCAGTGTATGGTTTTATTTTCATCTATATATTTATTTTTACACGAAGGCTCTTGAATCATCACAAGTGGTGATTTTCAAGGAGATGTATGAAACAGTGTATATTGTATTTGTTTTTGCTCCTATTGTCAGAGTGAAAAGTTCTATGCAGCCTTTTTTTCCACATTTCCTTCCTAGAGACGGGCAAAATATTGGTTTAAATCACTGTTTAATCTCTACTAACTTCTTTGAGCTTCCCAAACCAAAGTGTTGTTTCCCACCAGTGGCCAGTGAAACTGGCAGCAGAGTCGGACAGTGAAGAAGTTGGGGACAAACATGGACCAGTCCTGGGGGCTGAGAAAAGCTCAGACGAGGGCTCTGTGTTGGAGGTAGAGAGGGAGCTAAACAGCAGTGAGGCAGAGGAAGCCTCTTGGCTGGAGCCTCTCCCCAGTGTGCGCATGCACAGAGCTGCCAGAAGACAAGAACAACTAAGAAAGCGGGTCAGTTTGGGAGTAAAGCCACACCTTGGAGGTGATTGGCCTCTCCCATAGGAAACAAAAGAGGAGCGAATGGGGAATGTGACCTCAAGACTGGACTACTGCAATGTGCTCTACATGGGGCAGCCCTTGAAGAGTGTTCGGAGACTTCAGCTGGTCCAGAATGCAGCCACGCGAGTGATTGTGGTTGCGCCTCGGTACATCCACGTTACATCTATCCTCCGCGAGCTGCACTGGCTGCCTATTGGTCTCTGGATACGCTTCAAG